CGCTTAACTGCCAACCGCTTTACGTGCTATCGGCAATAAAATATTCCTTCATAAGTTTTTTTTTTTTCATTTATTTAAATGTGGAAAGGCATGTAGAAGAGATTGTTCATGTGTGTTCGGAGATGAACAAATTTTTCATCCACTTCCTACTCAGCAACCGAGGAAAGCTGGGAGGCTAAAATTGTAAGAACATGTCCCTGATTGTAAGAACATGTTTCTAACCCATGTCCATCCCCGTTTTAAAATCAACGCTTATGCAAGCCTAGACCCCACGTATAGACGCCTAAAAAATGCGCAAATTTTTTGGCTAGAGACGATCCCGGAGCCGGTAGAGGAACTAGAATATTGCAGGGATTCTCCGTCCATTTGTAAGCTAAAGATTTCAAGTTCAATTATCGCGCGCTTGCATCATGCGCTACAGTCATGCCCAAGTCTGCAAATGGTAACGCGCCAACTTGAGAACTGACGGGAAAATAGTAATTGCAATTTTGCCGGAAAAATATCGTTCAATTGGGAAGTAATCTACCCAAATGGAGTTTCGAAATGCGCTTGAACCGTACATAAGGGCATGTCAAAAATATTTACAAAGAAGTAGCTATTTCGGGTACCGAACAAGCTGCGAAGCTGAAATTTTGAAAGGATATTAACGTGTGATCAAAATGAAGCTTGAAACCAAATTTCCTCCAACAGTCTCGGAAGAAAGTGCCTTTTTGCGGATTTCGTCATGATTCTCTCTTGACAACCTGTTCACTGTTCAAGTTACAATTTCCAGAGAAGGACGGTCATCGGAAACTATTCATTCTTCTTTAAGCAAAATTTACGGTGATCAGACAGGCCTGGAGTTTAAGATTTCACGCAGCCCCATGGTACATTAACACCGCCTGAACCGTCGCCGCTTTCAAGGCCGAAACAGAGTTGACAAATGGTTGCTGTTTTACAGTTTAACAAGTTAAACTGTAAAACAGCAACCATTTTCATAAGTATTAAGAGTCGGGCTGTTTTAAACTTGGTGCAAAAACTGACGATCTCACCGGTAAGCCTAATTGGTTGCTCTGAAATGTTACAAGCCGGAAGGGTGAAATTTCAGGAGTTTATTTTTTGGTCGCAAGCCACTGCTTTGAACTGTACTGCAGCTTTGTCTGACCCGGAGCCGCAAGTAATCGAGAACCAGACCTTTTTGCTTGCAAAACCTGAAGTTGCATTTGCAACGTTTATGCGGTGTATAAAAAAAAAGCTGGTTCCCTTGGGTCCCCTGACGCGCAGTGCTATTTAATTACGAATAATACCAAGAGCGGCCGCGCTGTTGGTATTCCATGTTAGTGATGCTAAAGAGATGCTCCCACATGGCGGACACATGAACGCCAGGCCTCTCGATATTTTTGAATAATCTTATATATTACTTTTTACTGGTGCTATTTTGGTCCCTTTCTGATAAAATGACCAACTGTAGGTCCATGTTTCACTAAACTGAACTACTTTTGATGCGTCAAAAATATTTGGCATTTGAATCCTTGAATAAAGGAACTGGATTACCTTGACCATGATACCGACCCAAGCTCCGTACCTTACAACGACCGATAGTGGATCGTTGGCTCGCCATGGCATGAACATAACTTCCATGCCGTTCGGTTCCTTGGAATGCTGGATACTTTTCTTACGCTCCTCCTTCTGTCCGTCCTCTTCACATTTAGTCACTTGTTTATCAATTTCGATGTCATCTTTCAAGCCATGGTACGCTCGGATTGCTCGTGCAGCCTAAAAGCTTTTGAAAACCACTCCTACAATAGCAGACTTTTCGAAAACCATGCATAACTCAACCCAAATTTTGTCATTTGGTGCATGTAATTGAAGTTACAGACCAACAGAACCACGGCCGTTAGTCGCTCAACCAAGCAGTGTAGAAGCCAGAGCATAAGCTTTCACATTTAGTTATTACTTCTGAAGCATAGAAGCTGAGGAACCCCTACCTAAACACAAAAAAATGAGCAATCCAAGATTACGAGTGAAAATTCTGAAAAAACTCCAACGTGTTTCACAATCTGAAGTTAGAACCCTGCCAAGATTTCGGTGTCTACCGGCTCTAAGGCTTCGTTATGTTTGGATACAGCCATATACCAATCAAGATCAATGTAAAACATCCACTCTCAAGCTATCCTTCACTGCCGCAAGATCTTCGATTAGCACCAGTTGTCAGTGCTTCGCTCTCTCAATGTTTCGTTAGAAAAATGCGCAACATAACATGCTTCTGGCTTACGAAAAGTAGAGAGATATGCGATGAATTACTAATTTTTCAGATCGCCACTGCCCTCAATTCAAACGCATAACTTTGCAAAATATACTGTAAAATTATAATTTGCTATCTATTCACTGTTTGTAAGAGGGAAGGCACTCAGAAGTAACCCAAGTGGTAGCAACTGCCTACGGCAAGGCTTCGATGGCTTCCTCGTTCGAGACTGTTCACAAGTAGGCTGATGAAAACTTTAGCCTTTTGATACAGGGTAGGAGCAGTTGCTAATAGACCAAATTTTATTTCTAAAACGTTGGCAAAACAACATACATCCACTCGATTATGTGTAAACTTGAGCATATACTGTGGAGATTCGTACATCAGGATAAATATTATCAAACAAGCAACAGTGACACTGAGCGGTACGGCAAACATAAAAGGCCATAATGCGGGTGTTGACAATGGTACTCCAACTGCTTGTGTTAACAAATTACCTAAATCAGTTAAACGGTGAAAATGGATTTATTAAAACAATTAAGGCGAATTAAGCGTAAATTGCGAGAAAGCAGCAAGTGCGGTAAGTTCATGAAACTGGAAAAAAAATAAGAGCTAATTAATCAAATGTAGCCAGATAGTCCTCAAACACCGGATTCATCTTGCCAACTGAACTAATCCCGTTATTCCAACTGTATAGTCATCCGCTTTGAGATATCAAAATTTGATAAGTTGGAGGTTAAATTTCAAAACGGCGATAAGTCAAATATTCACTTTATCCTAGACCTGACAAAGGTAAAACAAGCCTATGCTGAAACTGTAGCAACGTATTTACCAAAAAACATTGAGTAAGCAAAAAAATTTCAAAAGTCCCTAGCAAGACTGAAATAAACGAACCAGCAGTAGCAATTACTTCTTGCCATGAATTGACCTTGCCTCGCTGTGATGTAGGTGCACTCTCAATAATCCAGACAGTTTGCACCACGATCGCGATACCGTTTGCGGTACCCCACAAGAAACGGCCTATCACAAGCGCCTCGTAGTAGGGGAAACACAGCCTCGTAAACATTGATAGTGTTAGGGCTGAAAAAAGGTTTGCTTTAATGAATCAAGAAGCTTGAGCAAAAACGCATTAAAATTGGTAAAATTTTGAAATTTCGACATCTTAATATTCCATTTCTAACTAATTGTTTTAGAAGTTTTTTCAAAAAAAAATGTAAACTATGAAAGTTTGTTTGGTATTAAAGTTCCGCCGATAAGAAGGACACAGTCGAATATTGTCAGTTGTGGGAAAGTAGGGAGTGGTAATTTAAATACCCAGATAAGCGCGCCTGTATGTGCTTTAGCCATTGTCTTATCTGTGCTTCATCCCTAAACTGTAAGCACAGACGGCAGAGCCGGTGCGGAATGAAGTGGGAATCTGAGCAATGCATGTCCTGTCGGACAGATCTTAGTGCAATCCGTGTTTCATCCTTAATTGTAAATACAGACCGAGTTACACGTGTGGACAGGAGCAGTGACCATCAGTATAGGCTCTTACTCGTTACATAAAGGATGTGCATGCAATTAAATTTTTAACAGCAGATTAATGCTAATTTAAGATAAATAGCAACGCGCACCAGACTAGCCGGTGCGATCATGCGTTTTGTGCAATTCAGCCCATCAAAAAAATCGTTCGCCTATTAATGATTTTTACTGCTTTCTACTTTAGTCTATGCAGAAATAGTTCAAACAC